GTTCTGTCCATTCTGAGGGCCTTGGAGCAATGACATCAGCACTTAGGTCTTGGTTTCATTCTCCATGAAAAGCAGTGTTTCAAATGGAAAGGCAGTTTGGAAAAGAAACAAACTACAGAATAATATACATGGTATCATTTGCATTTGTGGAGATTTTTCAAAGTGTGTAGTTGTACCCATAAAATTATTTTGGAAGGCACTAAAGAAACCTAATGTGATTTTCTTGTAATTGACCTCAAGCAGGTTTCCAGAGTCTGAAAATCATACGAAAGGAGATTGTTCGTCTTTCTCCTGTGGAGCTTCTGATGTCTTCAAATTGCAGAGGCATCACCTGTGTTTTAGCAGTGCCATGCCCTACTGAATGCTTCACCAGAACATGATGCTACCAGGTTGACATTTCTTAATAGTAAATAGTCATTCTCGGCCAAGTATAGTTTGAGCATTTCTTGAATCATCTTTATTTATTTGTTAATAATTTTAATTTTTTTAAATAAGAGATTTCTATTTACTATTAAGTTAGATGAGTTTCTGTATCAGATTAGTGTTCATCAATCTATGGTTGGTCATCAACTCATTATAGAGGCTTAAATTCCAAATTTTAACCTGGTAAACCTAAGATTTTATCCTCAAGTTTATATTTTAAAAGAGATCTTGAAATTACTCTAGTAGCAACTTTAAAACTGCTTAATAGCTTCTGCTTTATTTGTTTTTTGAGGGGAATGTTATTTTGTTGGGTGTTTTGATTGCGCATGTCCCATCAGTTTCAAAAGTTGGTAAAAATCTTCAGTTTCTTTATCATTGACTTTAGTGATTTGTGTACATATTTGAATAGTAGTGATATTAACAGGTCTTCATATGTATATGGATCATGACCTGTTTCTCACTACATTGTACTTCAGGATAGATTTTAAAATGGTCTTTTTGACTATGAATGCAACACCATTCCTCTTAAGTTTTACATTCCTAACATAGAAAATCATATAATTGATTCAGAATGGTCAATACTAGTCCCTCTCAACTCAGTAATGAAGTGAATTTCTACCTTTATGCAGTTTCATTTTGACAGTTTTTCTAGATTCATACTTTTTAAATTCCATGTTCCAATTATTAATGGATAAGTTTTATGGCTGTTTCTCCTCATTTTGCATTTTAGCACATCAGCAAATGAAGAAAGATCCTTTAAAAAGCTCTAATATTTATCCACATCATTACAGTAGACTCCATTTTGAGGAGACAGCCCTTTTCCAGTTGCATTTTTAATGTCTTCTAACCTGAGGGGTCCTCTTCTAGTACTATAACCACAGCTCCTCTTGGGTGAAATACAACCTTGAAAACTCAGTGGAGGGGTCAGCTATGAGTTAGTTCTGAATCAGTGGCATTGAATAATGACTTGCTTTCTTTTTGGTGATACTATTACTTGGCTTTGTTACCAGGATTGTGCTGACTTTATGAATTTGGGAGTATTCTTTATTTTTCTGTGTTCTGAAATGGTTTGATAGAATTGGTGTCATCTGTTGAATAGAACTCTCCCATGGAGCATTTTTTTAATTGTTGAAAGGGAGTTTTGTTTATTTGCTTTAATTTCTTTAAATAATACTTGAAATTCTAAGTTTTCAGATTTGGCTTAGTACCCTTTTCTTATTGTGTCCACCTGCTGTACAGAAGTAACTTATGGTTGCTGTGAAGCTGAACACTGTGATACTGATGTGTCAAATGCGATAATGGTTACTCATGGTGGATGGTGTTTGGTGGAGTTCCTTGATTAAAGCAAGCTTTGGAAGCAGGAGTGGTATCCACTTCCATAATAGCTTGCCTCTGGAAACCCTATGAACCTCGGGAAAGGATGAAAGTCACGCAAGCATCAAGGACTTTCATTCATAGGGTTGCTGAGTCACCTAGACTCAATGGCACTTACTTAACAACATAGAGAGACCAGCTGGCCTAGTGGACCTAAAGTGATGCTACCAAGCCAATTTTTTGGTCAAACATTCTTCTAGGTCATATAGCCCTAGTGTGTCCACTTGCTGTACAGATGTAACCTGTGGTTGCTGTGAAGCTGAACACTGTGACAGTGGTGTGTCAAATGCGTTAATAGTTGCCCGTGGTGGACAGTGTTTGGTGGAGCTCCCTGATTAAAACAAGCTTGGAAGCAGGAGTGGCATCCACTTCTGTAATAGCTTGCCTCCGGAAACCCTATGAACCTGGAGAAAGGATGAAAGTCATGCAAGTGTCGAGGACTTTCATTCATAGGGTCTCTATGAGTTGCCTACGACTTGACGGCACTTAACAACAACAACCACCACCCTTTTTAATGTGGAGGGCCTGAAGCACTTGCTGCAGAAGGTCAAGGATTGCAGCCTTCAATATGGATTAAAGTTCAACATCATCAGGAAAACAAAGATTCTCACCACTGGGCCTATTTGCAGCATCATGATAGATGGAGAAGAGATTGAGATTGTTAAAAGCTTTAGTTTGCCTGTCAATATTTTTGGTACCAGAAGCCAGGAAATCAAAAGGATGAATTACACTGGGAAAGTCTTCTGTCTGGGACCTCTCTAGAGTACTAAAGAGCAGTGGTGTCAATCTGGAGACTTAAGGTGTGCCTGATCCAGGCAATAGTCTTCATAGTTACTTGCTGTGTCAGAAAGCTAGACAATGACGAGGGATGACCAAGAGAATTGATGCCTTTGAGTTGTGGTGCTGGAAAGAAGAGTATTGAATATCCCATGGACTGCTAAAAGAACAAACAGATACATCCTGCAGAGGGTGAAACTAGGCTTCTCCTTGGAGGCAGGGATTCTGAAGCTTCATCTGACCTACTCTGGGCATGTTGCAAGGAGGGACCAGTCCTTGGAGAGGGACATCATGCTTGGGAGAATAAAGGGATGGAGGAACCTCGATGCGATGGATTGATTCAGTGACTGGGGTAATGGGGTAGATGTGTCAGAGACAGTAAGGTTGACACAGGATAGAGCAGGGTTTAGGGCTGTGGTACATAGGGTTGCTAGGAGTCACAAGAGACTTAGTGCCATGTAACCCTTTTTCATAGTGTTCTGTATGTTCCTTTTTTGTTGTTGTTTTAAAAGCTTTCCAACTTTAATATTGTTTAATAGAGGGGTAAGTACACAAAATTTTTATATAAAATCTCAGGTAAACAGAGCAAGCAAACCTCCTTGGGTCTTATTTGCCATATAAAAATCTGGTTTATTTGGAGAGGGGTCTTATCCATTCCAGCACTAGTGTCCCAGCTAACTTGGTTGGTTTTTCTCCAGGTCCAAAATAAAATCAAACTCTTTGTAGGTCAGGGGCTGAAATGAGAGTCTCTGGCAAGTGTAGAGAGCCATGTTTTTTAAAGGGCATTGAGTGGTCTTGTGAGCATGATGTTATATTTTGAGCTTAGCCAGGGGAATGAAATGCTCCATTATTTGTATATATTGTACGTGGACCTTAGACCATTTTGAGTTCTCCTTTTTTGCTGGGTTGCTTTTCTCAAACAGTAAGTGGTCTGGGTGGGCTTTCTTCATAGTCTTCTTAAGTCCCACAATGCCTGACTCTTTACAGTTGCTATGGTAGAAGAAGGTCTCCTTTTCCACTTCGTGGTAGTTTCAAACACCATCCCATCCTGTTGTTTGGGCATTTCTTTGAGATCCAGGATACCAAATATCATGTCTACGCCTTTCTCTAGTCATCTCTCCAGCTCTGATTTCATTAGCCAGTGCCTGATTTCCACAGTGAGAAGCTGACTCCTTTACAGGGCTGGAGTTCTCTGTTTTAGCTGATGTACCATCTGGATTCTCAGTTTGGGCACATTTTCCTGGTGATTCCTTCTTGTCTGGCTCAAGATTCCTTGCCAGTCTTTTGTGGGATTTTGGCATGATTTCCCTGTAGTAATGAGGAACAAGGGATGCTGGAGTCTGTTCTGCTTCTAAGACTCTCCTTTTTTTTTATAACACACCTTCATAAATTACCATAGGCCAAGACCTGTATGTTCCTTTTTCTCTGATCTGATTCTATTATAGTATCATCCATTTTACTTTTTATTTGTGTTATTTGAATATTTTACTTTTGTCAATTTGAGCACCGTTTTGTAGATTTTAATGTTTCTTTCAAATCTTTTTTTATTTCTGTTTCAAAATTTTGCTCTTGATTTTTATTTTTTCCTTGATGGCAACTGTGAGCTTTTTATCTTTTTTTTCTGTTGGTTTGAGTTGTGTGGTTAAAGTTTTGATTTTGGCTCTTTAATTAGTTTAAGTAGGGTGTTATTCTGTTTTCATACATTTGCATTTTCTCTTGTTCTTCCTGTTAATTTCTAATTTTAGAGTGTTTCAATGAGAGAAAACTTTGTGCTGTTTTTAACATTTTAATGCATATATATGTCTTTATAGTATAAAATATGATTTATTTTGGAAATACATTAGAAATGAGCGTATACTGTGCTACCGTTGGGTAGAGTATTCTATATATGTCTGTAAGGCTGAGTTAGTTTGTATTCTTTAGGTCTTATGTGTCATTGCTGAGTTTCTTTCTGATTGCATTGAATTTCATAGAAATGGTGTTTTAAAATTTCTTGCCATTCTTATGGAGGAGTTGTCTTTTCAGAGCTGTTAAGTGTTTTTTTTATTTCTTTTGGAACTCTGTCACTGGGTGTGTAAATATATGTCTTTTTGGTGAATTGTTCTTTAAGAATTATATAATGCCTTTGTCAGTTTTGTGGTGTATTTTGCCTTAAAGACTATTTTTTTTTCTCTTTACAAATATTTTATCAGTGGTTAGTATTGCTGTTCTTGCCCCTTTTTAATTACTGTTTGCTTGATATATTTTTCTATTCTTTTATTTTAGACATACAATAATATATTAGATTCTTTCCTGCTGCTACCTAGGACGCATTCATTCTATTTTTAAAGTAAATGTTCTTAGATATTTCTTAAGTGTCATAAGGAATCACTTTTGTGCAAGTAGGTTATAACTTATAAAATCCACTTTGTTTTTTCTCCTTATAGTTGATCACAGCAGAGTTAAGTTGACTTTAAAGACTCCTTCTCAAGATTCAGACTATATCAATGCAAATTTTATTAAGGTATGTATTGGTTTTAAATGGTATTTTTTTACAGTACTTAATGCCTTCCTGTGTTCCAGCTTTAGTCATTCTTTTGGTTTATTTACAGATTTACAATTAGAAATCTTTTTATAGGCACTCAGTGAACTTGAGTCGAATAGATAATTAAAGGTAGTTAAAGTGGCCCACTGGGTGATTGGAATCTAATGGTTTAGAGAAATCAAGGAAAGAACTGTTAGCTGGTCTTAGCATATTTTTAGCAGCAAAACAATCTTTTGCTGCTTGTTGACAAAAATATTAATGTGCTAATAAGTTGTTTTTTTCTGCTGTCAAGTCAGAATTGATGCACAGTTGACCCTCTCAGGGGTTTTCAGAGGCTGTAAATTATGCAGGAGTAGGTTACCCATCAAAAACAGCTGGTGGATTCAAACTGTGTGCCTTTAGGTTGGCAGTGCAGCCACAAGTTCACCAGAGCCCTCTAATGTGTAAGAGTTATGTTGTATTTGTATATGAGGCTTTTTGTCTCTAATACTTGTTTGTAGTCAAGTACGATTATGTGCACAACAGATCTGATTATACGCACAACAGATCTGAACCCTGTCCTATTCTGTGCCATTCTTATTGGCGTTATCTTGTCTTTAATTACCAATTCTATATGTCATGTTTGATAATTGTAGAAAAATTAAAACATGCCAGCAAAAGTTTTAATGCATTTAATATAGTTTGCTATTTTCTATGTATTGTGAATGAAAATTTCTTTAGAAATACTTTGGGTGAAATGAGTATTATTAGTAAAGTTTGAAATTTAAAAATTTAGGTAACAATATTTTCTATAGTAACAATTGTGACATTTACTTTTAATCATTTTAGGGTGTATATGGGCCAAAAGCATATGTGGCAACTCAAGGACCTTTGGCAAATACAGTAATAGACTTTTGGAGGATGATATGGGAGTATAATGTTGTAGTAAGTAATTTACTTTCTTAATATACTTTGACAAATATATAATGATGCTAGACATTTTACATTGTCAATATATTTGCATGTAGATAAGTAAATGTGTAACTGTACAAATGAATGTAAATGCAAAAATACAGATTTCTAACTGTAAATGTCAGGCTTAACTGGCTATGTGGGATGGAAATGGGTTGAGGTTGAAGAAAGGGGCAGAAGCAGCAAAGGAGCATTTTCTGTTTTTAAAATATGTGTGTGCATGTGTGTGTTATTTAAAATCTATAAATAAACAAAAAAAATGAGGGACAGTTATTTTATAATGATCTGTTTAATTATACTGAGAGGGTAATGTTTTCTGAAAAAGTACTAGTTTCTTGGGATTGTTGCTAGATTCCCACAGACAAATTGAAGAGTTTAAAAAGAGCATTTGATAATACTTTAAATCTTGTCCCAAATCAGTAATAGCCAACTACCAAACAACTTATAAAACCAAAAACATATGAGCACTTTAGTCGGCAAAGAAATTCTCTATGCAGTCATTTTCTTAACCTTTTTTAGTAATAGACCTTCTTAAAAAATTTATCATATAAATTATTACATAAAATTTAAGAGAATTTGAATAAAACCCCTTCCTGCAAATCCTACCCAGTATCTTAAATTATTGGCATATTCTTTCTCTTTCTGGATGAAGAAAATAGCATGAGTTTAGATTTGGAAATGGGGAAATAACTGAGTTCAGTTACTGTAAAGCCACATTGCTCTTCTATTTATCACCTTGTAGCCCAGTAGGTTGCTCTGGTGACAGTTTTGATTTTGTACAAATAAGAAATCTGTAACACTTGGTCCTCAGTCCTCGTGTATAAGCATAGTGGTAAGGGCCTTTTTCTATTTAATGAAAAGGATTCTAAAACATTGTCATCCTCTATTAGTCAGTGAAGGAGTAAATGAATTCCTGATATTTGTATTTTGTTAAAAATAATTATATTTAACTGAAAAAGTCTCCATTGCATCTTCCTTTATCCACACTTTTTTTTCTTTTTCTTTCTCCTCTTAGATCATTGTTATGGCTTGCCGAGAATTTGAGATGGGAAGGGTATGTATGTATATTTAATCTATTAACATTTAAAATAATTATAGAGTATACCTTTTATCCCTTCATTTCTAGAAATGTATGTCTTTTCTTTTATTGTATCATCTAACTGAAACTTTTTTTGTGTGTTATGCTATTTTATTTAGTCCAAATTAAAAAAAAAAAACAAAAAAACCCCAAACTTCTAAAACACTTAAACTTGATTTTAAAATTACTATTTTTCATGTAATAAAATAAGCATTAGTATTTATGGACTAATGGAGAACAGTGACAAAAAAAGGAATTAAAATGAGCAAATGAAGGCAAATCATTCTGATTCCTTAGCATCTGTTTATGGGGTTTTTTCTCTATGGCTCTGATTTCTCTGCAAATACTAACTACTTCAGTTATTTTTTTGTATGATCTTTGGGTTTTTTAATGTTGGTATTTTTATGTGCTGTGCAAGCGAATTAGTTCCCAAAACCATTATGATATCTATCCTTAAACATTTTAGTGTTATGATAATGTATTCCTAGAGAATAGGTATTTAAATGAATCTTAAACATGGGTTTCTGTAAATATGACACACAAATAAAACTTTAAAAATAAATTGTGTGGTGGTTTGTAAAATTTCCTTATAGAGTGCTCCTTAGAAGTAGAGATTGTGGGACTTTTGTCTCATGTACATTGGCTAAGTTGTCAGGAGGGACCAATCCTTAGAAAACGACATCATGCTTGGGAAAGCAGAGAGTCAGCAAAAGTGAGAAAGACCCTTATGGGGTAGATTGACACACTGACTACAGCAGTAGGCTTAAGCACCGCAGAATTGTGGAGATGGTGCAGGGCAGTCCTAAATCTGTTTCTTTAAAGTCACTGTAAGTCATTGGTTACTTGATAGCATTTAACAACAATAACACAAATTAGAATTGACACAAGCGCAATGAGTTTGAGTCTTAATAGTTAACACTTCCAAGTTCTGTAAGTTCCCATGTATTCTAGGAGCCACTTGGACACAGTGGTTAAGTGCCCAGCTGCTAAATAAAAAGTTTCTCTTTTGAACCTATGTGACTGCTCCCTGGGGGAAAAGATACCTTGTTCTGCTATCTGTATTCTTAAAATGGGATAGTAAAAGGAAAAAGTGTTTATACTATCTGTAATTTCAAAGAAAATGACATAGTTAAAATAATACATTATGTTGGCATATGCTTTTAGACATTAATAAAAGAAATTTAAAATCATACAAAACACCCCTGTAAGGTAAAGATTACTATATCTTTTTTTTCTTTTTAGTTAAAGAAAATGAAGACCAGTAAAATTAGTACTTGTGCAACTTTTCTGAGACCATGCAGAGTACTATTTCCAGTATGCCACAGATTTTACTTTTTTTTTAGATTTTACTTTTAAGGACATTTCAGGCAGATATAAAGATTTTCATATTACATTATAATTTCACAGCAATAGCTAGAAACACTTTATACTAGATGAGCCTCATTGGGCCAACCCCTATTTTTTTCCTTTTCCAGAGAATGATCTTTTGGGGTCTACTTACATAGAAAAGAATGCTATCTCTCTTTAGAATAGTAAGATTGTGATTGTCTTAAAGGGTATATTCAAGACCTTTAAGAACAGTTGGTTAATTCTAAGCTCTCTCAGCTACTTTGGCAGGTTTTTTTTTATTTTCAGGGAAGTAAGTAGCCAGCTGAATCCCAGGGCACAACATATTTCTAAAAATTTCAGAAATTTTAACATGGATTTCTTATTTATTTGGACAACAGAAAAAATGTGAGCGTTACTGGCCTTTGTATGGAGAAGACCCTATAACATTTGCACCATTTAAAATTTCTTGTGTAAGTATTTATTTTTTATATATATATGAAAATTGGTATGCTAGATTATGAATGAAATTGTAATTAATAGGAATTTGGTTTCATATACATCAAGTACTCTGTACTTTGATATAAACCTGCATTTATCGGTAATAAACAATGACTTACTTTTAATTTTTAATATTACTTTTTTTAAATGATCTTATTTTTTAAGGATCTTACATGTTGTTGTTTTTTTTTATTATTTATTTATTTATTTTATTATTTGTGTGTGTGTACCGTCAAATCAGATCTGACTGGTACAGGAGGAGATTGTTCCTCCTTTTCCAGCAGAGCATCTGGTGAGTTTGAACCATAATTTTTAACATTACTTTTAAATTTAGAATTGTTGTAAATGGCTTTTTATAAATGTGTAATATTCATGTATTAGTTTTCATATATCAGTTCATAAAAAGTATTTGGGGATATAAAAGTAAAAGGAATAATAACAGTTAGGCAGTTGAACTATTTGGCAGTTATATTTAATAAAAGGGGAAAGACAGTTGATGACTGAAATACACTGTGTCAACTTTTCGTTGCTGGGTTATGCCCATGTGGCTGTGAGGATTGGTAGCCTGCAAGAAAAGAAAAGATTACTCTTGGGAACTTAGTAATCTTTCCAACAGATACTTTATCTACAAACTTAAAATGTATACCTTACTATTTCATAGCCTCTAGAAATTAGTGAAGTTTAGGTTCCAAAACTAACATAGAAAAAAAAAATCTGTGAAAATGTATTGAAAAACAAAGAAGAAAAGAAGCAAGCAAGTAGGAAAAAGAAAGAAACATTTTAAAATAAAACCAAATTATTTGCTTTGTATAAGTTCCATATGGTACCACTTTCTTGACCACCTTAAAGAATAAGATTTTACTTACTCAGCTAGACCATAATTAAGAACTCATGAAAATGAAATACCTTCCTCATTGTAGAATTTTCTATTTCTAACATCATTTTCATGGTTAAATGAAATATAATTACTTGGATTATACTTGTCACTGGTGAGTACAAGATGTTCATAATTTTATGACTTAGCTTGGAATTTTTGAATGCCTTGGTGAGTACTTAAAAAGTCCAAAGCTAGGGAGCTCTGGTGTCCTAGTAGCAAAAAGCTGCACTGCAATCCCAGAGGCACGTGGCTGGAATTCACCAGGTGATCTGCTGTAGAAGGAGGGCAATCTCCTCCTGTACCAGTCAGATCCAATTTGATGGTACCAACACAAAAAAATAATAAAATAAAATTGAAAACATTTTAAAAAAAAGTTCAAAGCTTTCTATGTTGACAGGGAACACAAAAACTGTTAACAGTCTCTTTTTGTAATGCATTATGAGGGGTTTTTTCCCCCAACTTTAACAGCTTGCCTTAACATGCACTCAGTTCTCTGAAGTTATATTGAAAATGAGTTGTGTGGTTGGTGTAAAAAGTTTCAGAAACATCCTACACATTTCATACAGACATTGAGTAATAATAGCCAATACCAACCACACTATCTGTTTCAGAAAACATATCCTTATTAATCCAAAAATATTTTACAGTATTAGGTCCCTAAATGGTCTGGAAACCTGATTCTGTGTAGTATGGTTGTATTGAATCTTTGTAAACTTAAATGCAATAAAATTATTAGCCCTAATGGTGCCTTGGAAACTGAAGGGAGTGTCCTTCTGAGTAAGCCTGAACTCAGTGAGTTTGGTTATGGTTATTTCAGACAACAATTTAGGATTTATTACTGCTGATTTAACGGCAGGAAAAAAGGAAATTTTTATTTGGAGAGCAAGTTAGTAAAAATAACAATAGTGAATGACTTGACTATTTGGCAGTTAGAGCATTTGAAACTGAGATAACTCTGTAAGGCATCTCTACTCTGTCACATGGGGTCCAAATAAGTTGAAATCAACTCAGCAGCACCCAATATTAATGGAATTGTTTTTAAACCGAGTAGAAGATAACTGTAAATTGCTGGTTCGGAGTTGGGGAAAATTGAATAGCAGACATCCAGTTGTATGTTACTACTTAGGACAAGATTTGTGTCCCTTGTTCTCAGTCTCTGTGAGGTCTACATAACAACAGTTACTTAGACCAGGGAGTCAACATTTTACCTTGGGTCAGATGCAATTTTACAAATAGTTTTGTTGGAACTCAGCCACATCCATTCCTTTAGGCATTCTTTATAATAAACAAGGCAAGATTGAGTAGGCAGAGGTTTTATTGTCCTCAGAGCTAAAAATACTATCTGTTCCTTAATAGAAAAAGTTAAAACTTGGAAAAATAAAAAATTTTACCTTCCCCTTTATTTTTAAAAATTAAAAATAAATTACTGTAATTTTTACAACTAAATCCAGAATAAATAAATAGCCTTTTTAAAATGGTTGTATTTTCATCAACTAAAATAATTTGCCATTTTCTTAGTGCATCCTCTTTCTACCCTGTATGCCAGTAGCTCGAGTTAAGTTTTGAGTTAGGGAAAATCACATTAAAACTTTATTCTTATAGGAAAGTAGTAATTTCACATAGAAGAGTATAGGATAGCAACCTTAAATTATGTGGACAAATCCTGACCATACTTCCCTTTACATTTTCAGCATAAGCGTTAAGCTGTATTTATTGCATAAATATACTATTGTATAGTAGACTTCTGATGAAACAATTGTTATAACAATCTATAAAGAAAACTTAAACAGATGATGTTTCAAATAGTTTTTATCAAGCATACATCTGGAATTGAGGTTGATATAATGTGGGATTGAAACTAATTTTTTTGTTTGTGTTGGCATCTATATATGTTTGCTTTTAATGTTCTTACTGATTCACAATTACTTATTTAGGAAGCCGAACAAGCAAGAACAGACTACTTTATTAGGACACTGCTACTTGAATTTCAAAATGTAAGTAATTTTCCTTTTAGAGATAGTTCTTAGGATAGTTTTTAAAGAGAAGATATATAAATACTACATAATAAAAAACTTTGTTTCACACTGTTGAAATATAAAAATTTCTTCTTTCATAGAAATTAATTAAAAAGGAATTCCAATCTAAATGCTTTTGGTACCTTTAGTCCTTACGCTTATTGCATTCTATAAAATAATAGAAACTTAGAATGGTGTTAGCTGTCATCCGTTTCTGAGCAATATCCTTTTTCTCCTCAGTAGCCTTAGACTAGCAATCTTCTAAACATTTTGCTCCTAGGACTCCTTTATAGTCTTCAGAATAATTGAGAAATCCCATGAACTTTTATTATTTTTTTTAAAACTGAATTTTTATTTTATACTGGTTTGCTTACAAAGTTTGTTTATATTGTTTTTCACACTGGATCTTTTTCATTTCCTTTACCTACCCCTCCCTCTACCATCAAGTTGTGCAACCCTGTGATTTCCCCCTTGCCCATCCTCACCTCTCTGCTCCTCCTCTCCCCTCCTTGGATTCTCATACACATTTTACTAGTTATCTATTTCTACAATAATGATCTTAATACAATATTTTTTCCTTATGGGACTGAGTTAGTTCACTTAGCATAATGCTCTTCAGTCCCTCCTAAGTTATGTGGTAATTTTCGAAATCATTGCTCTTGCTTGTTGCCTAATGGAGCTTTTCTTTTTGTGGAGTTTATCACTAATTACTAACTATATTTGAAATTAAAATTAGGAAGGTTTTAAAATTACAGGAATATGTACATTCACTGTCAGAAGAGATTACATCACAAATCATGTTGGTCCTTGAAAAAACTCCACTGTACACTCATGATAGAATAAGAATGAAAAAGGCAAAAAATGCCTTAGTGTTATGCTGAAAAGAAAAGCCCTAGTGGTTTAGAGTGTTTAGCAGTGTATATCCAGCAACCACTGAATGGCCGAAAGATGAGGCACTCTGCTCCTTTGGAAACCTCATGGAAGGTCACCATGAGTTGGAATTGAATAGTTTCAAATTTATAGGCACTGATCCTTGAAAAGACTTTGAAGTGTCTGTAGTCCATACTTTGAGATCCAGGATTTACAAAGATATGAAGTTAGGATTTACTTCTAAGTGCTTTTTCAGTTTATATGTTCTGTTAGTGTTATAGTTACCAAAGATTCTCAAACAGTGCTTAAGATATACTCTTCATTTATTCAGTGTAGTTTAGTTAATGTAATGGTTGAAGCAGATTCTACTGATAGGATAGCATCACTTGGGTTCAAATTCCATATCTGTTCCTCACTCTGAATATTCTTTAACTATTTAATCTCTCCATCTCTTATTATCTATAGAGTTAAAATATTATTAAGAATGCCTTTCTTGAGGAAAATGTACCATAAAAAATCCAACTTTTCTGTAAACTTTCATTAAAATCACAATTCAAAGAAGACTACCTGTCTGGTTAAATAAATTGTAAAGCACTTAGATCAGTACCTGGTGTGTGATAAATAGTAAATAAATCTAGGTTACATTGCTAAATACCACAGAATGAAGCTTTTATGTAAAGTTTAAAACTTGCAGCAAGTATATTCTCATTATTGTTGAATTTTTATTTATCTTCAAGGAATCTCGTAGACTCTATCAGTTTCATTATGTGAACTGGCCAGACCATGATGTCCCTTCATCATTTGATTCTATCCTGGACATGATAAGCTTAATGAGAAAATACCAAGAGCATGAAGATGTACCTATTTGTATTCATTGCAGGTACAAAATAATTTTACAAATCTCTAAATGTAGCATTTTGCTCTGTTTGTTTTTTGTATTTCTTTCTACATTAATTGAATGGATATAATCTAGAATTTATTAAACTTAATTTAGTAAACTAATGTGAGGCCTTATAAAATTGATCTTTATCTCATCTACTTGAAAGAATAGTAGTCATGTTAAAATACAATATTTTGAAAATTCTTTTCACTTTTATAGTACCATAGATTACAATCATGATCTAATTGTAAAGTCAATGTAATAATGTAATACTATTTTCTTTAATTTAAAAAAGTACTTAAAGAAAATATTTTTGTATGAATAGTAATCCTGAGAACCAAACATTACCTTTTGAACAGGTTAATAAATATGCTTGACTAGAGAGATTAATATGTGATTTAGAGCATTAAAAGAATTTATGTTTTCATCATTTTCTTTAGAACAATTGGCATATAGTCTCTGTGCCTGATAAACATTGACATGACTTTCTTTTCCATATTTATCGCTGTATGTGTGTGGTACATAAGTATGTATATATTTGTGATCTTGTTAACCTAAGATGTTATAAAGAACAGTAATTTACATATTAAAAAATTGTTGCTGATAAGGGGTAGAGATTTGTGAAAAGTTATTGCTGAAAAAATATATACCATTTTCAGGGTATTACAACATGTACTAAAAAATGTGGCTTAGAATTGATGAGAAACTCAGTTCATTTTCATTTTGTAAGGAACATCAGTTATAACATTTGTATTTACCACCTGTGATATCCCGACATGATATCATTTGCAGCTACTAAAATTTTAGTAGAATAGGAAAATAGCGTTCTTATAGTACCTTATTACTTTATAGTTATAGTTACTAGACATTCTTATTAAATTATATTTTGCATCTGATTATTTCATAGCAAGCACTCTATAATACTGAATCATTTACTGGTCACTTTATCCAACTAGTCTTTGCACATTTAAGTACTTGCAGATCTCCACTTTAAATTGATCTGTAGAAGTCTCCCCCCTTCCCACTGATGATCAATTTTTATTTTTTTTTTAACAAAGAAATTATCTTATTCACTTGTGGGTTTCTCACTTGGGAATGGGGTGCAGACTCTCTGGCTTCTTCATGCTGAATAGGGGCATTGATGTGAAGGGGGAAGGGGAACCCACTTTAACACCTTACTGGTGGTCCTTGGTTGAAGCTGCATGCCTTCTTGTTCAGTTAGAAGATATTTTTCTGACCTTTACTGCCCTCTGGACTGCACAGTGTTTGCCAAGGTGGGTCCAGTGGGGATGACTGGCTGAACCATGAAGCCTCATCCTCCTTCGCTTCCTTAGCTGGCAGTTATATTTCCCCTTTGTCTCTGGAACTGGGTTCAGGGTTCAGGTCTGGAGCAAAACTCAGTGTTATCTGTAGGAAAGAGCAAACCTAGAGAGAACAAATTTGTGAGTTACAAAGAGAAGGGCTTTGGAGGTGTTACTTTCAGGTGTACTGGGGGAGAAGGTGGAGGAAAATAGCTTAGATAAAATTCTTTGTATACCCTAGGCAGTTTACCCCAGCAACCTGAAGGCTCTTCCCAGAGATCAGATGGATCTCCCAGGGGCCAGCTGGCACACCCCATGGGCGGATGGCTCCCCACCACCACCTCTTGCAGATGGCACACCCAGAGGGCTGAATGGCTCACGGCTCTCCCCAGGGTCCAGATGGGCCCTGCCCCAAGGGTTCCATCCTGTCTTTGTTCTTCCCCCTACCACCGTCTGGACCCTTTGTCTCACTAAAGACCATGGCCTGGGACAGTACCCCTGGTTCTGGTGCTGCCACATTTGCCCCACTATCCTCCCCCTTTACAAATGGAGAAGGGGCTTTAAGTATGGTGAACAGACCCACCTTGGGTCTAAACAGTTCTTGGCAGCAGTAGTCAAGAAATCAAAAGATGTAGTGCATTGAGAAGGTCTGTCGTCTAGTTTCTATTGTTGTCATTGAGTTGTAGACAACTCATAGCGATTCTATGAATGAAAGACCTAAACATTTGTATAACTTTCATCGTTTCTCTAAATTCAGAGGCAAGCTATTTCGGAAGTAGATGCCACTCCTGCTCCCATGCTTGTTTTAATCTGAGAGCTCCATCAAACACCGTCCACCATGGGTAACCATTATCACATTTGTCACTTCAGTGTCACAGTGTTTAGCCTCACAGCAACCATGAGTTATCTCTGTATAGCCAATTGGCAGAGCAGTGATCTATTACTTAGAAGAGTGTCTGACTGAAAACAAGCAAAACCAGGCCTGAGGGCTGCATACTAAAACCCCAACCTTTAGTTTGGTAGCATAGCTTTCTATCCACTAGGCCAACAGAGATCTCTCTATGGCTCACCACAATTCTATGAACAACAAATCTTGTCCTTGCCCTACCTATCCTACACCATCCTCACAATCCGAGACATACTTGAGCCCATTGCTACAGACACCTTATCAATCCATTGAGTTGATAATGTTTTTCTCTCTGACCTATCCAAGGAAACTTCACTGACAGCAAGATGCTTTCCCATATCAACTCCTTCACCTCAGGCAGTGGGGTGCTGCCACCCCTGCCACTCTTCCCCCACCACCCACCGTCCCCTCCTTTTCTGGGGTCTTACAGCTATTGGCATCCACAGCCACCAGCTGTGTGGTGGCTCTGTCACACTGGCCCCACTGCATCTGCCACCCACTCTAGACTAAGGGACCTATGGACTCCAGCCATGGTGGCCCCATGGGGTTGCAGCAGCACGGGCTCAGCGGCTGGTAGTGGGGGGAAATGGGACTCACCTATGTTCTTTTGGGAATCTGTCCTCTTGATGTTGAGCTTCAGTTCGTATTGATGGCTGTCAGTCAGCTGCATGGCCTGTTTCAGTGCTGCTTGCCAGGCCTCCTGCTCCTCATATTGCATCTCTTGTCACCAGCTTCTTGGTTCTGAGACTTTATTTTAGAATAAGTTTATTCTGTGGCTGTGTGGAGACTCCGTCGTACCAGCTGCGGGGCCTGGTGCCCACTGTCTATCCCAGGTGAGGGGATCCCTGGGGTCTGGCCATGGAGGCCCCATGGAGCTGAGGCAGTGGTGTGGGCTCGGCAGTGGGGGGCTGGGAGCCATGAGACTCACCCATTCTTTTCTTGAGAATCCTTGTTCTCTAGATTTTGAGCCTCAGTCCCTATTGAACACCAGTAATCAACTGTTTAGTTGTTCAAATATCAATAATCTGAGGACTCTGGAGGGGCATGGTGGCCTGTTTCTATGCATCTTGCTGCTCCTCCAAATTCCTTATGCTGTTTCCGCTCCTGCCGCCGCCATCTTAGTTCTCCAGAAGTCTTTTTATTGATTCATATGTTTGCAGTTTAGTTAGTCATTGCATAACCATTAATTTCATAGAGTATCTTGCAAGCCCTGCCATTAATGTTTAGATTGATAATATGAGATTTATTGGTTTTAGGAGGCACTCAGTAGTTCTGTATGTTATCAAGCCTGTCAAATCTTATGATGGTGCAGGATAAGGCTAGGTTCAGATCTGATAGAATATGAGTTGTGGCACCTAACAAAAACAACATAATGTTATTTAAAAAACTCTGGTAATATATTGTGTTACATGTTGTGCTGCTAACCAAAGGTTAATGGTTTGAACCCACTTGCTGCTCTATAGGATAAAGATGGGAAACTTCCTCCCATAAAGATTTATAATCTCAGACACCAAGTGGAGGGCCTCAGGAGTTGCAGTGTTTACAAGAACAGTAGGTTGTTTTTATTTAAGATAAATCAATTTATAGTAGCCAACTGTTCTTAATTTAACATTGAATAATTTCTATTACCTGGTCCATTTTGTAACTCACAATCCGTTCTGTTCTGTTTATAATGAAAAGCAAGATACCATTCCAGTGGGGAGGAAGAACATCTCATAAGTTATGAGAATTCTTTTCTATATTGGGAATATTAACCTTTAACCAAGTGTTTACAAGTATTTTTAGGTTATTATGCAGACTTTTTGCCATATATAATTTTACATTGCTTTATCTAGTCAAATTAGTGGTTTCTATCTACTGAGTTCCTGATGCCAAAGACCTCTTCAATCTTCCTTTATTACTATTGACATTTCGGTCTCCTCTCATGCAGTTGACTGCCTTTGAATACTTGCTGAAGGGTCGGTCAGTTAGGGGGATATCTCCTGATGCCTTGCCCTCTTCTAAACCCAGCTTGAACTTCAGGGTTCTAGCTGCTTTTGAATAATCTTCAGCAGTGTTTTTTTTACCTGCATGTGATATTAATGATATTGTTTGATAATTTCCAGATTCTGTTGGATCACCTTTCTTGGGAATGGGAACAAATATGTATCTCTTCTAGTCAGTCAGCCAGGCCACTGTCCTCCAAATTTCCTAACATAGACTGATGAGCACATCCAAGCCTGATGTGTTACTTGAAACGTGTTGGTTGGTATCCCATCGATTCGTGGGGCCTTAATTTTGTCATTGTCTTTAGTGCAGCTTGAACTTCATTCATTACCTTTGGTGCTTCCTGAAGTGTTTCACTGTCATCTAATTATTTTTTTTTTGGTTTATTTATTATTTTTTTATTTATTATGCCTTCTGCATAATGCAGGTTGTTAATGAGTCTTCTTCTGATCTTGATACCACATTCTTCTTCATAAAGTCCAACTTCCCAGATTACTTCTTCAGCATACAGATTGAATAAGTGTGGAGAAAGGACACAGCCCTGATACACAACTTTTTTTTCTTTTCTTTTTTTTTAAATTTTTAATTTATTTTTTTCCAGAGTCTTGGATTTCCATTCATTCATTGCCGCAATTTTCTCCCTGCCCACCCCTCCCCACCAGCTCGCTTCCCCCTCCGAAGAGAGAAAAAAAAATTCCTTCATTAGTATACAGTTCCCATGTCCCTTCCCCCAACCCCCACCCCGAGTACATTTCTCTATACAACCTTAATTCTGGATTCCTGTGCTAACCATAATATTCAATCATATATCACTTCTAATCTGTTCTTTCCCTCATCTGTTTCAATACAATATACATAATTTATCCTTATTCTTTTTAATATAGTGATTCTGTGTATTCCCTTCATCATCTTCCCCCCTTTCCCTCATCTTTTGATGCATCCTGGGTAATTCAAGATTTTTCCCATAGCATTTCTGAATATTCCAGCTCAAGGCTTGAATTTGTTTTTCAGTTTTCTCAGCTTGAGAAATGCTTAGCGAATTTCTTCCCTTTTATTCTTCCAATTCTAGCTCTCTGCACTTTCCATTATAATACTTTTGTCTTCTTAAGCTTCCCTTTGAAATCTTCTGTTCAGCTCTTCAGCACCTCTTCCCTGTTTTGTTTTGTTTTTTGTTTTTTTTTTTTTCCCCCTTCTTGATGCTCTGGTGCAATTTTCAGAGTCTCTTCTGACATCCGTTTTGCTGTTTTCTTTCTCTTTCTTGGTAGTGACCTGATCTTTTGCTCTTTTCATGGATGATGTCCTTTATGTCATCCCACAACTTATCTGGGACATATTGCACTGGGAAAATATGCAGTCAGGTACCTCTCCAAATACCTAAGGAGGAAGGACGTCACTTTGAGGACTAAGGTGTGGCTGAATCAGGCCATGGTCTTTTTAATTGCTTGATGTGCACCTGAGAACTGAGCAGTGAGTAAGGATGATAGAAGAATCGATTCCTTTGAGCTATGGTACTGGAGAAGAGTACTGAATATCTCATGGACTGTAAAAAGAACAAAATATATGTATGTGTGTGTGTGTATCTATCTATCTATCTCTCTTGGAGATAGTGCAAATAGAGTGTTCCCTGGAGGCAAAAATTGTTGAAACTTTGCCTCATCTACTTCAGATATAGTTCTGGGAGAAGCTATTCCTAGGAGAGAGGCTTTGTGCTTAGAAAGGTAGACTGACAGTCGATAAGAGGAGAAGACCCACAACCACATGGGTTGACACAATGACTGCAGCAATGTGCTCCAGTATGTCAGAGATTGTGAGGCTGGCACAGAATAGGACAGTATTTAGATCAGTTATTCAGAGGGTCACTAAGAGTGATACGAGACTTGACAAAACCTATAACAACAATCCACTGAAGACCTTTCGATAATGTTACATAAATCTTTGCCTGTACTTTTTTAGTATTTTTATAGATGTAATATTTTTTTAATATTATGTTTCAAAGTAAATTTATAGACAATATCAAGAATGGATCTGAAACATTGAACACTAATGACCAGATAAGTAGTAGAATACCATCTAGGGCATCATACATGAAGAAAGAAAGGTAATTAGAAAGACAGGAAAAGGGGGGGGGGTGACCAGAATGCATATCAGAACAGACTTTGAAACTTACTTTGCAATTTAGACAAACTAAAGCAGCCATAGTGCTTGAAGCAAAGATGGTGAAACTTTGTTTATATATTTTGAATATGTTACTAAGAGAGGCTGTTCCTTAGAAAAGGAATATCATACTTGGAAATTGAAGGGTCAATGAAAGAGAGACAGACCCTCAACAAGATGGTTTGATACATAGATTGCGACAATGGGCTTAAATGTGCCAGAGATGATGAGGATGGCACAGGATAGAACAGGGTTCAGATAGAACAGGGTTCAGGTTCATAGGATCGCAGTGAGTTGCACTCAACTTGACTGTACCTAGCAAAAACAACAATGGTAAGAAGCTGTGCTGCATTCCCAAAGGACGTGGTTTGGATCTGCCAGCTGCTCCACGGGAAGATGAGCAGTCTCCTCCTAGGCAGTTAACGGCCTCCAAAGTCTGCTGGAGGGTCAGCTATGGCTCAGTTCTGTCTTGACGGCACAATTAAAAAACAAAAGGCAAAAAGAAGTGATAAATGAAGTAATTGAGCTGAACTGAAGATTTCAAAGGGGAGTTTGATAAGAGAAAGCATTATAAGATATTCAGTAACCTAGAATAGGAAACAAGAAAGGAAGACCATGCTCAACATTTCTCCAGCTGTATAAACTGAAGAATATGTCCAAGATTCAAGTATACCAGTATTAAAGGACTCTATGGGCAAAATATTGACTGAAACGGAAATCATCAAAAGAAGAAATATATAGATACTGTAACAAATAGAATTTGTCTTGCCTGAACCATTTCAGAGAGTAGCATATAATCAAGAACCAGTGGTATTGAAGGAAGAAGTCAAAGCTACATGGAAGCATTGGGAAAAAATAAGGCTTCTAAGAATTGACAGAATAGAATACAAATACTATTGTTTGTACTAACAGATGCAGTAATATCTGGCCAGTCCCATTTCATAAAAGATGATCCAAGAGAATGAGAAATGATTGGACAATAGCATATATCACACATAAGTAAAAGGTTTCTGAACATTATTTTTTAAATGGCAATGATAGTGCATTGGCAGACAACTGCCAGAAATTCAAACTGATATCAAAAGAAACCATGGAATGAGGGATCTAATTTAATTAATGGCATCAGCTGGATTTTGACTGAAAGCTGAGAATACCAGAAAAAAATATTTACCTGTGTTTTATTGATTTTGAAAAGACATTCAACTGAGTGGATCATAAAAAGTGATAATTAACATTGAAAAGCATGGGAATTCCTGATTATTGAATGTGCTTATGCAGAACCTGCTGTTCAGTAAACAGAACTGTGTCTTTGGGTTGGCAGTGTAACATTTACCGTTTGACCATTAGAGCGCCTTGTAAATAAGGTTGCTGTCAGTTGGATCAACACATTGCCACCAGACAACAACATAATTTTAATCCATCATGAATTTTATTGTGGCTAACTTGTGACGAAAGAATGAATTTTTTAGTTTTTATTGTAATATGGCTTTTCCAGTACCATTTATTGAATGGTTCAGGCTTTTCCTTTTGATTGGAAAACCTATCATTCTATAATAAATACTTATGCTCAGATCTGTTTCTGAACTTTCCATTGTATATCCTTGGACTGATTGTCAGGTCTTTGTAATATCATACTTTTTAAAATTATCAAGTTTTAACCATATAACCCTATTAATAAGGCTAAAATAGAAATCTCTTCATTAACACCACAATTCAAAAGCATATTCTTTTTCCAATCCTGGTGCTACATTCTTCTTTTAGTACAGCTTGCTCAGCATAATAACTGAATAGGTATAGAGAAAGGATATAGCTCTTATACACAGCTTTAAATTTTGAACCAGCATTTTACATTACCTTTTGTTGCCTTTTTGCTTGTTTGATTCTAAACCCTAAGTGTTTGTGTATCCCTTCTATTGAGAATCCTTTCTTTAAAATATTTTTATTATGCTTTTTAGTAATAAAACCATTTGTAATATATTACTTTATAACTCTCCAGTAGATTGGAATGTAGTGTTTCATCCTTCACTCTAAATGTCTAGAGCTGTCTTGGATATAGAATAAATTTTCTCTGATACTACCATGTAGACAAGATTTTGTAAGAAGTAGAATTAGATTTCCAAAGTTAAGGGTCCTAAATATCCTGACTTAGAAAAAAGTAATTTGTTCAACAATGAATGAATGGAAATCCAAAGTCTGTAAACATTCATTAAAATTAATAAAAATTTAAAAAAGAGGGGGAAATTTCTAAGTAACTTGTGGGCCTCTTACTCTTGGCAGTCCCTTAAGTATAAAAAAGATGCTAGTACTAATATTACAGATTTACTGTGCATACATTTTAAATTGTAGTTTCTTTACCAAATAGATTATTGTCAAATTTCTTAAATTTTATTGCTTACAAATATTAACATACTTAATGTGCATTTATTTTAAAGTTCTTTTATCACTAAATTAAAATTGTTTTTATCCATAGTGCAGGTTGTGGACGAACAGGTGCCATTTGTGCTATAGATTATACATGGAATTTACTGAAAGCTGGGGTAAGAATAATTTTTATATAGCATAATATCCAGTTGATTTGTTATGATTTTCAACTTCAGTTACTACTTGCAGAAAATTAGAGCATATGTTTTGTTATACTTGTTAATGTTTTGTTTTGTTTTTTGTTCCTGTAAATTAAACTGTTTATTCTAATAGCCGCCATTGGTTTGCTTTGTTTTGTTTTGTTTTTTAAGTAGCTTTGCTGTGTAAAATATTGGGCAGTAAAACAAAGTACAAATGATAATTTATTTTTCTATGTAAATGAATCCCTGTGTTAAAGATGTAGACCTTCCATTGACTTTTTTTCCCCAAAATTCAGAATTCTCATTCCTTTCCATATTTATTCTAGATAAAACTTCTTTCAGTTCCTATTGGAATGACTAATGTAGTAATTAATGCTGCCTTGGAACCAGGTTGCCTAGATGAAAATTCTTTTAGTCTTTTAGCGACAGTGCTTAATTTTGTTGGACCTTGATTTCTTTTTCTGAATATGGGCCATAATAGTACTAACTCCTGGCAGCCATTTAGAAGACTACAAGAATTAGCTATGTTAAAGTTCTTTAGAATGATGTGTGGTATGTTCCAGGTGCTTAAGTTTAATTATTGCCTTTATTGTAAATGATTATCACTTCCAGGAAATTGTGTGTTGTTGTTGTTGTTACGTGCCGTCGAGTCGTTTCCGACTCATAGCGGCCCTATGCACAACAGCCCTAAACCCTGCTCTATCCTGCGCCAACTGCACCGCCTCTGACACACCCATCCCGATTACCCCAGTCACTGAATCAATCCATCTCATAGAGGGTCTTCCCCTCCTGCGCTGTCCCTCCACCCTCCCAAGCATGATGTCCCTCTCCAAGGACCCGTCCCTCCTGGCAACATGTCCAAAGTATGTCAGACGAAGCCCCAGAATCCTTGCCTCCAAGGAGTAGCTTGGTTTAATCCTCTCCAAGATGAATCTGTTTGTTTTCCTGGCAGTCCATGGTACATTCAGTACCCTTCTCCTATGCAAAATACAAAGATATGATGTAAAAACATAGTTCTTCTCATATGTAGATTTTTTTTAAAACTGGGTTCAAAATCTCTTCTTTTTCTATACATTAGGGAGGTTCTTTTAATTTTTCATAGCTTTGTAGTTTCTTTGAATATATTAATCTTTGTCTTACATAATGAGGTTAAAAAAATGTTTAAGGAACCTAGTTGGTACCATGGTTAAAACATTCAGCTCAGTTGCAAACGGAAGGATTGGTATTTCAAGTCCACCAGCACCTCCATGTGTCAGTCTGTTTCCTTAAAGATTTAAAGTTTGGAAACTGTATACAGCAGTCCTATTGTGTTCTACAGGATTGCTGTGCATTTTAACCATCTCCACAGAGGGAAGTTTGAAGTAAATGTTTTGTTTCTTTTTTATCTCCTTTCTCTTTTTCCTTCCCATTATCTTTTTTTATCTTTCCATTCTTGGTTTCTTAAACAGAACAATAACCAAAAAACAACTCTCCTAGGCCTAAATTATAATTTTGTATTTCTCAAAAGCTGTGTTGTTGTTTTGTACCATTGAGTCAGATTCGACTCAAAGATGTTCCTCAGGTGGGTTTCCAGAGGCTCTAAATCGCACATATTTCCCCCTCAGAGCAGCTGGTAGATTTGAACTGCACCCAACACAAGTTGGCAGTACAACTCCTTACCCTTAACCACCAGAACTCCCTTCAAAAGCTATATTCATCTGCTGATAAGCAAATGAAAAATTGTAAGCAAATAAAATTTAACTAGGGTTTTATCACATTTTATCAGAGAAGTAAAAAATTATGAAAATGGATGAGCAGTGGCACTTTGATAAATTCTAGTAAGTGAAATAAATATCTCATTTCAGAAAATTGTGTATTTCAAGCTCAGTCTCCATTTTTACTGAATGGTGTAATGTAAGTAATATCTTTGACTTGAAGTTAAGATTTACTGTAAAAAGTTTTTGATGTATCTACAAAGTCTTCTGATCAGCAAGCCTGATAATCATTATCAGTTTTACCATCTTTCTAGTCATCTAATATATTTTTGTTTAATATCAAGTTCAAATAGTTCTGCTTCAGAAATGTCCCCCAAATCTATCTGTCCTTTCTTGATATTCTTATAGTAAATACCAGGTTTTTCCTTTTCAAACTTCAAACTCTCATGGGAAACGTTTCCTTTATAACTGATTAGTGTTGCTTGTTGCAGTGGTTCTAATCCCAGATGCATAGGGAAAAAAATGCTTAGCTGCTTTCACAATTAGTCTCCGGGGATAAAATTGAGGGATCTGTATTTTTACTTAGCTCCCTTTAGTTGATCCTTATGCAGCCATTCCAGGCCACATACATGTTTACAATTTGATTGCCAAGTAGAAATCCTTTAAATATCCTTTGCTCCTTTCATCCTGAACTGTATCTCCACCAGATTTCTCAGTTCCCCAGACAAGTCATCAATTTAGTCTGCCATGCCTACATATATCCCCTTCACTTTTCGTAGAATAATAACCTTGTAATAGCCAGTTAAGTTGTCTTTTAATACAACTATCAGAGTTAAGCGTTTTTATTTCCGTTGCATGGATTTCACTAGACTTATGTTTCCCCATGAATTTGGCTCTAAGTTTTAAGTTTAGGGTCAAGATTAGCTTTATACACTGTGATGAGCATAGTATGTCATGTAGAAGGTAGGTACTTACTAAATGTTTGTTGTTTTCCAGCATGTATGTAAGTTCTGTGTGAAAATTTGAAGACTGTTTTATTATTCAAACATTTGACCAAATTTTATGTGTTGTCTATTCTAGAAAATACCAGAAGAATTTAATGTATTTAATTTAATACAAGAAATGAGAACACAAAGGCATTCTGCAGTACAAACAAAGGTACAATTGTTTAAGTTTATAAAATATGCTTTATAAGTGTTGTCTTATTTTTTTAATGTCTCTTGTTTATCATTTCATCTCTCTAATTAATAGGAGCAATATGAGCTTGTTCATAGAGCTATAGCCCAACTGTTTGAAAAACAGCTACAGCTATATGAAATTCATGGAACTCAGAAAATCGCTGATGGAGTGGTAGGTGTTCTTCAGCTATTAATTTTTACCATGAAAATACAAGTATTCATTGTTTAAAGTCTATACTACATACAGTCAATGAAATTGGACATTATAAAGTTTGGGGTGTTCTGTGAGCATCACATTCTGTATTGGCAGTTTCCATGTAATTCATTGTTAAATCTCCTTATAAGAGAATCCTAAACAAAGCAATGAGCTTTATCTCCTAGATAGTGGAAGCCAGCCCGGGAGAGTGTACAGGTGAATTGAATCAAGCCTGGGTTCTGGACTTTGCACATCTCTGTACAATGAGGGTGAAGGATCCTTGATACTATGATATTAGTCATATGTAACCATTGCCTGGAGCTGGAAGCCCAAAACATCTTACAGAACCGTTAAAACTATGTTAAAGTTTGAATATCTCTACTTAATTTTTAATATTATAGCTAATTTGATAATATGTTGTTTTTATTTTTATCTAGTTTGACAGTTATTATTTTTACTTAAACTGACTTTTTTTTTGGTTTTTTTTTTGTTTGTTTGTTTTTTATTATTATTTTTGTGTGAGTGTACCGTCAAATCAGATCTGACTGGTACAGGAGGAGATTGTCCCTCCTTTTCCCGGCAGAGCATCTGATGGATTCGAACCGTGCGTCTCTGGGATTGTAGTTGCAGCTCCTTGCCACTAGGCCACCAGAGCTCCCCTTTAAACTGACTTTTAAAAATTCTTTCCTTCTTCCTATTTCATTTATTTATTGCGATGGATACTTAATGAGTTCAATACAAACTAAATGATGCTCTAAATAAAAAAATAATTAAGTAGATCTTATTCCTGAAATCATATAATTTATTATTCTGAATGTAAACTAATTTTTAAAAATATACCTACGTTCTTTCTTCTTTTCCCTTCTGACCTTGTCTAAGATGATCCTACATAAGTTTATTATGTAGAAATAATTTGTGTATTTATGTTTCTTTCCATGGTTTTCAAATTAATTAGGATTACTAATTAGTTAAAATGACATTAAATTCTAAAATTAAATCTTTTAACTTACTGTTACTTGAGTTTTCTGGCTAAGAGATATTTACTGGATATTGAAATTTTAGGCCCAACAAAGATACCATATTATTCTAATGGTTGTATTTTTTACTCTTTGATCCAATTCTCCTATTTTCTCTTTCTGTATAATTACATTATCCCTAAAGGTACTTATAGAAGTTCTTTATGTATCTATTATTGAACCCAAGATAACAGTCACAATAAACTAAATTAGTTATAATAAGCAAAATGGGGAAATATAAAAAATGGATAACTTTCTCCCTATTTAGCCACTTCTGTCAATTTTTTCTTCGGAAATTTCTTAACTATCCAAATGAGATATTTGTTAACAAAAGCTAGTCTCAATGTGTTAAAATATAATCTATTCTATTTCCAGATCTATTAGATTGTAGGAAGTATGTACATGCTTTTAAACTCAAATAATAATTACAGGCTTTTTTTAAAGACACCTTTATTTCATGTTAGTAACTGCTAGTCTTGCTAATGAGATGTGTATATAATCTGACAGGCACTGCTCAACAATTCTGCAACCTGGGAATTCAATTGAACATTGCCACCCTCAATGCCTATTCCACGTTGGGGTTGTTTTTGGTTTTTGGAGGGTTTTTTTGCATACAGTTTCACATTTTTTAAACATGAAAATCTTTATACAAACATGCCTCATACATTGTCACTTTTTTCCTCTTTAGATTAATTAAATTCTG